GTTGCTACGAGTTACATTTTTCGAGTCGGTCCCTTTCTGTGATATTTTTTTAAGGGATAATTCTGTATTGTGATCTGTTGCACCAACTACAATCACCAAGGTGCCAAATAGATTTTCCAATTTGCCAATAGAAAATATATAGATGTTTGCCCGGGGGTGCTCCTTTTCTGTGATTTTTTTTTCTAGTTTCTCGTGGGCCGCTGCCCGGAAGTTGCCAAGACTTGGGGATTATTCTGCCACATATCAGGATATGGAAATCTCCCCTTTTTTTAGTTTCTTACTGCCTGAAAGTTGCCAAAACTTGGCGATTAATCTGCCACAGAACAGGCAGAACTCCACATTTTATGAGTAAACATACATATGTTTTTTTTTATAAAATATGTGTAATTTTGCAATGGCAAAGTAAAAAAAATTTTCCACTCACCCTAAATTCATTGAATGTTTAAGTAGTTATTTTGACATAAATTATAAATTTGATTATTATTCCATATTCCAACATTGATTATATATAGAATGTTTTATGAAGTACATGAGCATAAAATTTCCCATTCTCATTATGAGAAGTATTTTCCTTTCACGCTAAATTTATCTAATGTGTAAAAAAGTACGTCAACATTTCGATTATTATTCCCCAGTCTTTCTATTGATTTCATATAGAATGTTTGTAAATAATTTCGCAATGTCATTCTGAGAAACATTTTCCTCTCACACTAAAATTATCCAATATTTAAATAGGTATTCTAACATTAATTTCATTATCATTATATTTTAATAAATACTTTACCTCCCCCCGCTCCAGTAACGATAGCAACTTTTCCAGCGAACTTCAAAGGTCCCATCTCAAAATGAAAATTCTCTAAAGGTATGAGGATATTCTTTGGAGGAAATCCTGATACACACTGCTGCGATTTGTGTTAAAAAATATTTTACTTAATGACAGGTAACTTTCATGTCACGTGGCTCACTTGTTTGAAAAAGCAGTCAGCAGAAAACAAAAATTATTTTGAAAACTGGAACTACTTCTTGGTTCGGTTCAATGATAACAATCGTATCTGATCTTCCGTATCGTATCAAATTCAGTTTTAATCGTATCTTATCAGTTACTTATTTATCGAATTATTATTCACTTTATCCGCTGCAGCTTTATTTATGTTATGCAGTTAAAATAGAAATTATCAACTAATTTATTTTAAATTTTGAAATATTTCACACCAGAAGTGCTGTAAGTCTCATACTTGTGATCTGCACGATTCGCGATCGCAACTCTCTAATACGCCATCTGGGTAGAAAACTGGTTCCATGTCTGAACCCTCTTCTCAGTTGTATAGAAATTTGCTATATTTTCTCCTCTTTTAATAATTTTCGTATTTTTGTCGGAAATATTTTTTTTAAAATTTCCATGACTTTCTTTTTTAGAACTTTGTTCAATGTAGTTTTAAGTTGAACGTAGTTTCCTAACTTAAAAGTTATTAATATATTTGAAAATCAAGACGGAAACTGACGCACTTCCTTCTCCTACTATAAGTTTCAATAATCCTTCTACTTACAGTTTGGAAAAAAAAAGAATTTTTTTAATTTATAAAGACATGTTTGTTTTGTGTTTTTAAATTAGTACATTTATTTAATATTTCTCAAACTTTCTACGAGTTATGGAATACGTTTTCGAAGCACCTCGAGCACAAAATTTTGTAATCTTTCTCCTATATCTTTTCTTTTATTTCAGATTGCCATTTTCTTCCCTTTTTTTTTAAAAAAAAATCAGATTAAATAAGTACTATTTTTTAAATTAAAAAATGTCTTTTACAATATATATCACTTACATTTATATCACTACATATCATATTACTTGAAAAAATTGTTATTCTGTTTTTTAAAGGGTTCATAAAGTGTCCTTTATTTATATATTATATTCGTTTGTTATAATCAAAGTTGATCGGGATAGCCTGGTCGGTAGGGCGCTGGGTCCATGTCCGAGAGCTCGTGGGCTTGAACCCCGCCGGCCGAGGATTCCCAGTGTAGTAAAGTGACTGATGCACGTTAAATCTGTCGAGTCGCAAATGTCCTCCATGTTCCCATAAGAAATCAATACCTCTGGGGGTAATGGATTGGAGATCGATCGTTCCCTGCTTCAGGTCAAAATTACATTCTGTGGATGAATGAATGGATGTATGTTGAATTCCTGGCCATAGATGTCGCCACTGAAAAACAAGAAACACACCCTCTGCCTTAAATTTGCTCGGTTTCACCAAGCAGGCTTGTTAGCGTGGCAAGTGGCATTAGAAACAACAATATAATCAAAGTAAATTGGTAACAAAATAATATTAAGACTGTAATATGTAGTTTATAATTAACCATTATAACAGTTTAATTTCATAAAAAAGTAGTATCATTAAAAAGTGACAATAACAGTAATTTTTTTCATTAAATAATTATCTTTATTTTAAGAATATTAAAAAAAACAATAAGCATATTAAGTATAAAAAATTAGAGCTTATTTAATTAAGAAGCATATGCATTCTTATAATGTATTTTCATAAAGATACAAAAAGCCCTCTTTTTCCCAAATATTCCCATGATTTACATTTCTCTCCTTCCTTCAAAACAAATTTTAAAACTAACGAAATCTAATTAGTTTTAAAAAGTTTTTTTTTTCTTTAAGAGTAAATAAATAATAAAAACTTGTTATGCAGTTTGGTTTAAATTCATATAGTTCGAATACATTCAAAACCGAGTTTTAAAAGAGCCGTATATTTAAAATTTGATTTCTCAGGAACTATTCGATCAATTTCGCTCAAATTTTGTATTTTTCTATGTTAAATTACCTACTTTTGAAACGATGTAAAAAGTGGTATACCTTGCAATTCAATTTTTTTCCCAACTGTTATTAAATAAATAATAAATATTTACCAAAAGTTATTTTTAGACAATTTACACAATTCTAAACGATCTTTATAATTGTGGGCAAAATTTTTTCGATTCCCTTGAAAAGCTCTCGATTTATTTCTCAGATTACGATTACCCCCTATATTTTGGAGTTGGCGACACACGCAAAAAGTAAAATTAACATTAAGAGGAGGACCGGGTTAGCCTGGTCGGTAGGGCGCTGGGCCCATATTCGAGAGTTCGTGTGTTCGAAACTCGCCAGTCCAAAACTCCCTATGTAGTAAATGGTGACTGATGCACGTTAAATAAGTCGTGTCGCAAAGTCCTCTATGTTCCCATAACGAATCAATATCTCTGGGGGTATTGGATCGGAGATTGATCGCTCTCTGATTCGGATCGAAATTTCGATCAGTGTATGAATGAATGGACGTATGAATGGGTCCGTCCTATAAACGGGTGTGGTAGAAGTCGAATTCTTGGCCGTAGATGGTGCCACTGGAAAACCAGAGCAATCGCACCCCTCTGCCTTAACAGGCACACGGCAACAACATTAAGGGGTTCAAACTTTGAATCACTCTCTTGATCAATTTATGGGGACCGTATTTTCCAGATTGTGGCTACTCAATATATTTTGGGGAACAGAAATCCGAATATGTCGAAAAATTGGCATGTTTATTCAAAGAAACTACGTTTTCGTGTCTGATTTCGTTACTAAAAATATCACCCCTGCACTTACCATATTTATAGTCACCCCCACCACTTGAACCATTAAGAATGAGTCCTAGAACGTGAAGATCTAATCATTAGATCATAAGTCATCAGAGTGGTCTACTAATTTATTTTTTGCTCCCTGAACGTCTAAAAATTTATAATTCAAATCTGTTTAATATTTTTGCTTCATCTCTAATTTGTTCCATTGTGATACGAAGAGGATTTTTCACAATTTTATTTTATTAAATAGACCAGAATGTATTCTGATCTATTTTTTACTTTATGCCTTTTTTTTTCACTGTTAGCAAATTAATTATTTCTAGACATTCTTAACATCAAACATCAACTTCCTCTAATTTATTTCTCATTAAAGAATGTATTATTATCACTATATGTAGTCGAGAGTATTGTATGTATTTATGTATATATTTTTTCTTATTACTTGCTTTTATATAATGTTTGTAAAACTTAATTATGTTAAGAGCATCCGTTTTTTTAATTGAAAAGTAAATAAAAAACTGACAAAAATATATCATTTAACTATAGCTATTTTATTTGTAATTGCCATAACAAATCGCAATTATTTACACTGTGACCTTTAATGAATTTATTATTTCGCGATGATTTTATTGTTTTGATGTTAGCAAAGCATGATTAGTTTTAAAATAAAATCAATTTCCTTCAGTTTTAATTTTAAAAATATTGGGTAATCATCCGGTTATGTTATAAGTTCTTTTTTTATTTTAACCCAGAGCTACATTTGTCGTGTTTGCGTATTTTTGTTACCAAATTATATTTGTAAAACTGTCAGAATTTTTATTGACAGTTAAAAAACACAATAGAATCTTCGATAAATATGATAAAGCAAAGTTTTATTACAAACAAATGATGATTTTGAATACATTGAATGCATTACAATTAAAAAGAGATAATTTTATTATAGTTAATTTTTATTTATTTATTAATCTATCTTTATTTAAATACAATGCAATATTGTCAAAAGGGTTAAATACTTCCACCAATGCTTTTATTTCGTATTGCATAACAAAAGAGAAAGAATATAATTATTTTTGGAAGAGCGCCAGTACGAGATTCGCCATAGGCGTTTCTTTCCATAGATACTGTAGCTTCATCTAACATGATCCAACATTATCACGTCCGGGTCAGAACTTGTAGATTCATCTGGTGAACTCTTTGAAACTATCCTGTGTTCAGGAAATAAGACTTGAGACTAATAAACAACTATAGAAACATTTATTTAAGTTAAACAAAACATTCGTGCTCTCGTTCAATACAGCTATCTGTTGAAGAAAAATGCATAGAAAAGCAATTATCGAATTCGGGTCGTAACATTTATACTCTGAAGATCTGCACCACTTCGGTTTGCTTCACAAATAGTGATCGCTACCGCATCGACACCACAGATACATCTATGGCCATAGAAGAAGTCTTTACCAATGGATACACTTGCCATGTTTTCACCAATAGCTTGTGAATAATCATTGGAGTAGAAAGTGCTTCAATCTCAATCTTGATTTTCATACTGATTAATTTTCTAAAGCTTCGGAACTATATGGAACTGAAAAATTGTACTTAATGTAAATCTATCGTAGAAATTTTATCATCAATGATCTATTAGTTAAGGATACAACAAGATAATTATTATATAAAATAAACCACTCCAACCAAAATAGCTGGGGAAAAAAAAGTGATACGCCATTGCTACACATCTGGGCCTTTTCACCTTTTCATATTACTAGCACCACGATAGTTTTTGCAAAATTAACTCAACTCGGGTTAATTTCGTCATTTGAAATATAAGTAAATAATTTTTTGGCTGAATAATATTAGATGTATATTTTCAAAAGTATATCTATTTCCTAAAAATACCATAATAAGTTCCGTTTTTTGTAATGAAAGCAAATGATGAACATTTACTTTCTATTAGCATCACTAGATGGCGGCACCCTGTTACTACAGTTAACAGTTACATAAAGTTTTTAACTCATTGAAATCAAAGATATCAACTACTATACTATAAATATATTTTTCTAAAAATTTTTATATTTTACTTTATGTATTGGGCACCCCTTCCGCCCTTCATCTATGAAAAAAAGTTAAAACTATTTTAATAACTCGTGAAAAGTATAAAAAGATAGTTTTATACATTTTATTCTTTAAAGGAATAATGAAAAATCATTGTTACTAGATAGCAGTATCGTTAAGAAAAGGTGAGATTGATTTAAATTTTATATACGTTTTTAAAGGTTGAGATAAAGCGGTCGCCTTTCAGTTAGATGAACCGGGTTCGAATTCCAGCAATGGCTGGTAGATACGAATTCCTCATGCGGCCCGCACCGACTACACTGCTGACGTAAAATATCCTCAGTATAGTAGACGGATCATGGGTTGGAGTCCTCTCCATGTGAAGCAAATACCGGTTAATCCACCACAAAGGAAAATTTCTCCAAAAATTTGATCCAAGACTTCGCTTGTCTTCTGGATTGGGCTA